ACACGCCAGAGACTCACGCATCTAATTTGCCCGTCGCTAAACATTCGTGGCGCAATTTCTAACGCTGCGTGCTTTCGTTACGGTCAGAGCTGGATAATATTTCTAGAGAAAATATTTTAAATAATGGATTCTTCACAATTCAAATAAAATAGTAGTTCAAATAGGACATCAACTTTCAGTAAACAAAATATTTCATTTTGACAATCTAAAGCTAAAGTATGAAAATTAAATATTTTATTTTGATGGTCTGAAACATAAAATAAAATATTTTTTTTATTTTAATAACATAAAATATAAAATAGAATACTTCCCATAGTTCTTAACCTGAAAATAAATTGTGAAAATGATTAACGTAACGTAAAACGAGATAACGTAAGGAATCACAATATTTCCAAACGAAATTTATTTTCTTTTTAAATACAGCCATTGGTATATAACAAAGTGCATCGCTCAAAATTTTCATCATTTGAATTACTCCTTCGCGGGCGAAGAATTAAGCCAGCGAAACTAAACAGTCTTTCAACTGGAGCGAAAGACGAAATTGGCGTATTTGTATTTTAAAAATAATTGTTTCGTGTATTTGTATTTCGTAATATTTTGAATTTGAAAATCCTTATCGCCTAAATATTGCAGTAGTTCTGACTCTGCAATGTCGCCATCATTGTCCTCGATATCATCACTGTGTTGCTTGCACAGGAAAAGAAATGGCACAAGTATTTTCAGCATTTTTCAAATAAAATACCATTTGAAATATTATCTTAGAAATTTCTTACAACAAATAAAATATTTTATTTTCAAAAATGCATGCGTGATATAAAATAAAATATCTATTTACTATTTGCCATTTAAAATAGTATTTTATCCAGCTCTGATTACGGTGGAACCGCGTTTATGTGAATCCGTGGAGGGAAACGGATAATGGAGGATAATAGAGTTGTTAATTCTCCGTGTGAATTTTTCTTCGTAGATACAAAAAACTCACTACTTTGTATCAGCGAGTATTCTACGATGAGAGATAAGAAGAAAAAAAAGAATATTAAACGCTCTTAAATGCTCTGTTAAAAAATTATAACAAAAATTGACGATGATAGTGTGTGAAGAACATTAGCGATAAAGTTTCGTGGAGAAATCTGAGACACCCTGTATATTGGGAGTTCACGTTTAAATAAAGCAGGAGTTCATTCTCTTTCAGTGAATAGGATTCAGATAAAAAAAAAAGAAAAAAATATATGATTTTCTTATCACTTATGTACGAACTCTCGTTCGTATATTGGGAATGTTGAAAGTTCAGGCTAGTTGATTCAATTAGCTGATCATTTTGTTTCAATCGATAGAATTCAGATTGATGGATAAATTTAGATAAACGTCCAAATAGAAGTGACGAAATTTTCCATACTCTTGGAAAAGTAGTAAGTAACGACTGGGATGCGGATTTTACGCATTTATGGAGAATTACTGCGAGCTGCAAAAATGTATATAATGTATGTAGTACTTATAATATTATAATATAATATATATAATAATAATTATAATATAATATATAATAGTAATATATAATATATAAGAGTATACTAGTATAATTTATAAAATTATAATATAATAGTATATCATGATACATGTAACACATTATTATTATAATATAATATAATATATAACAGTATTATTGTATTATAATATAATATATTATTATATTATAATATAATATAATGTATAACAGTATTATATAATAATATAATATAATAGTATAATACATGTAATATATTGTTATTATAATATAATATATAATAGTATAATTAATATTCTATTATATTATAATTTTATAAATTATGCTATTATACTATTATATTATAATAATATATTACATAACTTTCTGTTATATACATATTAATATATATATTATAATATTATAAGTACATGATACACAATACAAATTTCTCTTATTAAATTCTGTTCCTTTAGTAATGTCCATAAAAATTTTAAAACGCCATAAAAATTGTAAAATCCGCAGTAATTTAAGTAATGGCAGAACAGTCAGAGTGAAATGATTCCCCTTACCAGATATTTACTTGCGTATTAGGAATTCAAGTTCAGCAGGAATTCATTTTACGTCAATAAATAAAATTGAAATGTGAGTGAAAAACGAGTTAGAAAATTGTTAATCTCCATACGTGGCAAAAAGTGAAAAATTAATGAACTCGAAGATTCAGAATATCAATTCAGTTTCAATCGTTTCAAGTACATTGGAACGATTCGTAATAGTAATATATCCACCACTTTGCAGCGCTCTCGAGATTATTTATTTAAATGGATAGGACTTCTGTCCCGTTAGTTTTTCACTAATTGACATATTGCTAGAAATCGACCGGGGTATCCGGAAACTTACGACCGGTAGCGTTTATCAAATGAACGAAGATGTTCTTTGAACCATAGTGCCCGCTGACCCGTGGAAACCCAACGATAGAACACCTCCACCCACCGAGTTTCATTCCGTTACCTATTCTTATTTTTATACAACCTGCGCTTTCTTCCTATCTGCGGATAAATAAAAATGTCCGTGGAGAACGGAAGATCAGTTTCCTTGCCAGTCGGACATCGCTCGTACGTTAACAGGGACCCAGTTAGCTTCCATTACGCTTTTACCCATAAATCTAAACTGTTTCCAAGTCAGCCAGGTAATACTTCACGATGCACGGCGCAAAGTCTGTCAACCGTGTCTAAGAAACCCTATCCAACCAATCTATCGGCGATTGGTTGAACGATTGAATCGACCTTGGTGTTCCTTAGTCGTTGGCTACTTGATTCATGCATTAATGCAGTCGCTTGTGTTCAAGCTAAGTAAGCCCATAATTTTAAACTTTCTCCACGTGGCACAGTCTCTGAGCAGTATCGAACTATCTACGATGCTTTTCTTTTTTCTTTTTTTTTTTTTTTTAAACGATAGACGATCATGATCGTCAAATACACAATCGTCTGATAAAAATCAGTGTTGATGCGGTGGTACTTACGATATTTAGAAAGTTTGCGTACAATTGTGTATAAATAAATATTAATCTGTTAATGTATACTTTTGTCTTGATGGTTACACTACACTGTGCGAGTATATACGTATGAAATAGTTGTTATATTTTCTGCGTGAGTCGGTTCTTTCGAACCTTGTACATACTATGTTTCTTTTTATTTTTTTATGGAGGAGTACCTTGAACTTTAGACGTCCGTTCGATTCATGTGTTAAAAAGTGATCGCGATCTTAAAAATAACTCCGCGACCTTGATAGTATGATTGTAAATAGATTGCACGTGTCTTAAACAGATTCTTGTATGTGCGTACGCTGATCTCGTTGTTTTTGGAAATTTCACGTGTCATTAAGATACGGATGTTTACTCGCTTGTGTAAGATTTAAAGATACAAAATTGCAATATACTATAAAAACACAATGTCTGGAGATAAATTTTGCAAACGTATTATGTACGTTATATTACAATTTTTGAAACTTAACTCTCTCTTTATGAGAATTCTAACAATGAGAATGTATGACAATGAACAAAAATAGGTAAAATTTTTTTATAAATGTTTAGATATTAATAAAATTTGAAAGATGTATGTATAATATTTACAAGAAATTCACTGCAAAATGTAACAATAAAAAATTTATATGAATAATGTTAAAAATAATTCTACAAAATAATTAATTACGTGGATGTGTTGATACAGTGAAATATTTTCAATGATCTCTATACGAAGGTTCAAATATTTTAATGATCTCTATATGAAGTGTACAATTGCAATAAATACTTTGTAACTTCCATATTATACAATTTTTAGATTTATTTTAAATTTTACCGAGGACAAACATGATAAACAAAATAGCAGTGTCTCATAAAAAATGTTTCGTATATCTTCATAAAATGTTCTCTTGCGTGTTCAGATACATTCTTGAGTCACTATAAAATACATAAAGTTCAGATATATTCTGGAGCCACGTTGTAAAGCATATGAAACAAGACTTTGCAAGACTCTATTTCTTGAACCTAGATCTATACAATTTCCACAGACATCGATAGCCCATTACGAATTTTATAGCGTTCACATTTCCATTTGCAAATTTAATTTCGAAATATCTACAATATTGATGTTACTTATTCAGTCGAAACCGATGACTCACGCGTGGAAGAATTTGCGCTATTAGACAGTATTGGAAAATAATTGAAGAAATAAGACGAGGTAGAAGCAGTATAGAATGCAAGAGTATACGTATGCGCTGCGTAGAATCAGAAAGTAGGATTGATTTCAAGGAAAATTCGCAACAAGCATTAAAGCCTCTTGGGAAAACGTCGATACTTGGGAATAATCTTTTAATTAGTAGTTAAATAGTATTCTGACTTTTATCTCGTGATTACACCATAGATGCTTATGCAAAATGTTGAAACGTGCAATAACAAAATTACACAAAATATCCAAAATGATGATGACTTTTAAACTTTAAAATGTCTTAAATATCTTGTCTCAACAAATAATAAATGAAATCAAAATATCTTATCTAAGTTATTAATATTGCGTTGATAAATATCTCATCTTAATAAACGAAATAAATTATCTTATCGAAGTATTCAATCAAAGTATTCTGAAACAAGCATTTACGTAGTTTCCATTTCTTCATAATTGTTGTACGATATTTGCAACACAGAATCTATATTTACAGATTGCAGATCATAAAATAAATTAATACACGAAATTATGGGGGGGGGGGGTTTCAAATTTTTGAATCCACGGCCATGTAATATTAATTCACGAAAAATATGAATATTTATTTAAGCGGTCGCCTCTGAGGTACGAACGCTCTCGGATATAAATAATGTTGATTTACCATCGATTCGAAAATATGAAGATTAATAACCTTGTATGTTGATACGATGGCGCGATTGTTCCCTGCAACGTAGGGCTCTCAAAGGTGAGGCCGCAGGTAAAAGGAAAACCATGGTGCACTTCGAGTTCATGCAACTAGGCCGGCTGCCGGTAGTTACAGCCAGTTGCACCACCGATCGGCATCGCTGCTGGATCGACTCTCGTGTTTCTATAAAACTCTTTCTTTCCTTCACAATCCTTCTCCATCCAACAGACAGCTAAAAGAAGTCCAGCTGAAATTAAATTTTATTCGCGATCACCGAAGTGATTCTCCTGACAGTGTTGCCTTTTCGCAAAAAACTATTTTCGACTCCATTTTTCCTGGAAGACGGTGTTCTGCAAAATTGTTCGATTAAGATTAGAAAACCGATCGGTAGAGCGGTAAAATCAGTGATGGTTCTCGTAGAATGTATTTTTGAGAGAGAAAGTCACGTCGATTGCGTTTCAGCTAGGTGAACGACAGCTGGCTGGAAAAATGTTCGTAGCCGAAACGTATTGTTACAGAAGATAGCGTGCGGGGAACCGGAAAGATCCTTCGTGTGCGCGTCACGTGATCGTCGAACCATGCCGGTAATCGTTTGACGTTTAATACACGCCGGCTACTCAATACATCTCGTATTAATACATCTTTTGTTTGCGTTATTATTGTCGCAAAGATTTATCGTCAATTAAGTGAAAAATAAACGTTGAGAGAACATATAGAATTGTATATGTACTTTCCGACTGACAACACTGGGAATGAATTTTATATTGTTGGTGCTCGTTGATTTATTTTACCAATAACGTGCAAATCGATGAAAGTTCATCAAATTTTCAAGGCGTGTTAGAACAATGTTAGAAGATGGATTGATTCCGTTAATGTCGGTTTATTTAATGATACTATACTCCAGTTTCTTAAAATTTACAAAATTTATTCAGCCAATCTTGAATTAGCACGGATTAATATTTTGAAACTTAAAAATTACGAAGCCAAAATAAAAACTGCGAACTATTCTTTGGCACGAGATACTTAAAAACTACCGACTTAATTGTACATTATTAAATCATTTTTGAAAGATAATCAATATCTGAAAACTAAATTGCTCGAACTACCTAAAAGCGAAACCATCGATCCAATTCCAAATTGAAATGAAACATTTCAAAGCAATCCGCAAGGATTCTCCAAACGCTTTCAAAAAAGTCTGACTTTGCAAAACGGATTAACGTCACGAGCGACTCCAACCTTGATCAAATCGTTCAGTCAGTTAACAAACGTAAACCACTCTGACCCGAGTTCCTCTTAAATCCTCCAAACTCAGACCTGTTAATCGTCACACGCCCGAAAGGAAACTGGCAAAAAAGGAGATTGACGAGAGGTGGAGTGAAGGGAGAGAGCGAGAGGACAGAAACGAAAGCAATCGGAAGCTGGCCGCGAATTGCGAACGGCGATCGTTGCGCGCGATCGGAACACGTCCCGCGATCGCGCTGTCAGGTTATCTCTCGAAGGCGTCGCGTCGATCCTCGAGGCCTGGATTCGACAGTGTATCGAGCGTAGCGAAACGTGAATCACGTGAAAACTGCGTCATGCCACAGGGTGGCGAGAAGCTGTCGAATGGCAGGATCGACGGTGGAAACCTGACGAGAGAGATTATTCACCTCGAAGGAGAGGATTCGTTGAAGAAGGACGACGCCGATGTAAGAAAGTGTGGCAACGACTTGGACGGTATGCCAGAACTCAAGGACGATCAGATACAGCTGAGCGACGAGGAGGTCTCGTTGGATCTTGGAGAACCCTCGCCGGAAGTGATGGAGTACGCCAGAAGGGAGCTCGGCGAGACGGACGACGTGAAGTGCAGAACTCTTCAGGAACTGAGGGACATAATTTATGGTAATTGTTACGTGTTAATTAACGATGCGATAATTGCCAAACAAGTCGTGCAAACACGCTTGCGAAAATATTGGAATATTTGTAGAATGCACGTACAATGTTTGCATGTTTCGAAACGCATCTACAGGATATCGTAGAAGTCGCAAGGTAGACATTTGCTGCAGCAGTATGCAATTTTGTAGAGATTAGCAAGACACAAGGTTAAGTAAATAACCTCTTTTGTAATTATCTTCTTCGGGAACAGAGTGGTATAATCGTTGTCTCTTGCTCGTATTTAAGCGTATTATAGTTATGAATCGTCTTAATAAGTCAGAGTATTTAATGAACACTTTTAATACCAATTCTACGTTCATTATTATCATTCGCGTTTGGAATGAATAAACTTGTGGCTTCTACGGATATCTTTACGTTTGCTTTCAAATTTTACTCGCTTAATTGGCTAAATTATTTAAATAAAATTTAAACAGCGATTGATTTCGCGGTAAACGAATTCGCAATGTATTTCATTTCGAGTCTCCGAGAGACTTATCTATTAATAATTAGAGAGATATTTGTTCAAGGTGATCGAGTAAGTACGCTAGGTATTCTATGTTTTACAGAGAGAGGAGAATGTTTGCCGCACAGGATGGACGACGACTTCTTGATTAGGTTTCTAAGAACGAGGAATTTCAACGTTAACAGGGCGCATCGATTGGTAAGTTTCATTAATATGACGAATCTGAATACAAAATTTTTGACAGTTTACGCAACATGAGTACCTAGTTCCATCTATTTCGCCCATTTCTACAAATTTCTAATTTCTTCCTCTTTTTTTTTTCTAATTTCGTAAGAATGTGACAATTATTAGACACAATTAGACCAGCAGTTTACTATTATTATTCATGACGATAATATTAGTCACAGCTGCAATTTATCGACCGAGATAAGATAATTTGCGAGCTGGTAGCGCAGCAGTATGATTTGTAAAACGAGTCCGGCTACAACAATTGCGCAATCGTGTCAAGGAAACTGAACTAACTAGACAGAAAATATCTCGATAGTTCTAATATTATTTGCCGGAGCCGATCGATTTTCGGATTAATTAAAACGATACGATCATTCCGCGCGATGTGATGCTCATCTGTATATTATTTTTGCGCGTTAATTGCTGTGCACATTTCTCTCATTCGAGAGCATAGTCTTCGCAATGGTGACAAAGGCAATTGTCAAACAAAGGAACGAGTTACGCGTCAGCCGATTACTTGCGCGAATCAAGCTGAATCAAAGTTCAGTTCGATTGCGGAAAGCAAGAGAATGGAACGGTCGAATTTCCAATGGTCGTTTTAATTGCTCAATGTGACCAATTATTCGATTTTCTAGAACCGTCTTCGTGTGGCTCAGGATCGAAACTCGAGGTAAATTCTCGAGACTGTACCACTGAGTTTTCGATTTCACTAAAATTTTCATGATGACTTCATCGGAGAATTCTGCTACGAAATTTGCTATTATTTTTCAGTGAAATATATATATATTTTTTTTATTAAGTTCTACGTTTCATTTTCATGGTCTCAAAGTTGTATTAAATGATACGAAATTTAATATACCTAAATTTAATTAAGGTAAAATTAGGTTTTATAGTCATTCTAGAATATTTCAGCCAAACTTATTTCAATATTTCAACCTTATTAATTATTCAAACGTGTTAAAAGTCGTCAATTTTGAAAAAATGTCAATATTTATATTAATATAAATATTAATTATATAATTATATTAATTTATTTTATTTATATATATAATATTATATATTATATTATTTATATAAACATTTAAATGTTATATTATAATATATATAATATATTTTATTTATTTATTTATATAATTATATTAATAAATTAAATATTTTTTCTATTAATATTAACATCTTAAATATTATCCTATTTTTGTATGTATTTCACAAATTAAGAAAATTCAAATGTCAATTAGAATAAACCGATTCATTTTCTCTCCTTTCTCTCAAGTCTCAAATAATGGAGTGTTTATTTTGCTTTAAAAAGAAAAAAAAAAAAGGAAACTCACAGTTTGCAGCATGATAAAACGAATTCGTGTCGCAATTTCGCGTGTCGTCCCTCCGCGGGTCATTAACAAAGTTAATCGCATTTCCAGGGTCGATTTAACATTTACTCGAAGCCTCAGCGCTTTTCGTCCGTTAAAACGAACCGCGAAACTCTTAAATAATTGCACGGCAACCGTCTCTTTCACGGATTGAAAGAAACGGCACCGTGTTCCTTTCCCCTCTGGTGTTTCTTTGAAACGCCATCAATTATCGATCGGTCTCCGTTTGTTTGTTCTGTTTTCCGTGTTTGACGAACGGTGGTTAGATTTGTAGAGCGATTAAATCGCGATGAACCCTTGACGAGAGGATTTTCCAAGGATTTACAAATTCAAATTTGCATTTCTTTCGTTGTCAGCAAATCGCGGTTATAGTATATGAAAAAATAATTTCTATAATATCTGGCAGGTAAAAGAATTTTTTGCTGAGACACTGTTTCCTTTAATTATCAAAAAGATATGAATATTTGCATAATTCGCGGTCACTAGTAGAATGTAAAGAAGTCCAGGTGTTTAATTAAATTTTGTATGCGCATGAGTTTGAAACTTTGTCTTGAAACAAAGACTAGGTACCCTTGTTCCGAACAATGTTGCACGAAACTTGGTTACAAAACTGAAACATCTTCCATCATGTTATCTAGGTTACTATAATATTAATCAGTGCCTTGAGTAGGAAACAAACTCTTAATAACTCCAATCGCGAGGAAGTCTTGCCTGTAGCGAAGAGCACAACTGAATCAATAACTACATTAATTACATTAACATTAAGTGATTTTGTGTTTCATAAAATTATATGAAAATAATTTCCAAAAATCTATTCGATGTATTGCCAAGTAACAATATTTCATTCAAAATGAAAAACTATTTATTTCAAAGTATTTTAATGTTTTATGAATTAAAATAATAATTATACTGTAAATAACATTCATAACGTACAGAAATTATACTTTGTTACAGTTATACTATGTTATTTACAGAAATTATACTTTGTTATATTATTTACAATATAATTAAATTATACTTTGTTACTTTGTTATACTACGTTATTTACAATATAATTATAATAATAATTATATTGTAAATAACATTCATAACGTACAGAAATTCTACTTTGTTACACTATGTTATTTACAATATAATTATAATAATTATATAATAATTCTAATTATAATAGTAATTATATTGTAAATAACATTCATAACGTACAGAAATTATACTTTGATAAAAAGACGTTCGTAACGTTAAGAGATTATTTAGGTTAATTTTAATTGTTTATAGAAATTCGTGAATTTTCTATAAAATTACTCGTGATTATTAATTCAATTATGCTCTTCGCTCTGTTAACCTGATCAAGCATCACTCCTTTGTCTTAAGACATCTTTCGATAGATCGTAAACTATTGCAACTTCAAAGAGGAACACCCGGAGATCCATCAAGATGTGTGTCCGCCAGAAATGAAGCACATTGGCGAAGACGACGTGATGTCAGTGCCACCGTACAGGACACAGGATGGCAGGAGGATAATGATTTATCGATTGGGAAATTGGGATCCAAGGAAATATGGCGTGGAGGAGATTTTTAAAGCCACAGTCATCATCCTTGAACTTGGGGTATTGGAGCCTAGAGCACAAATCCTTGGCGGCGACGTAATTTTCGATTTGGAGGGCATCACTATGGCACATGCGTGGACTATCACACCTCAGGTATCTTCTTTCTCATTCACGTGTTACGTATATACCTCAAGATTAAATTTTCTTTTTTACATCGTACCTTGAAATTTAGTTTCATAGTACGTATCTTCTTCAAAATTAAAAATTTTGTAATATTTGTTTCAAGATCAAATTCCGTGGTGCTATCTATTTGTTAATGAACATGTATTAGGCTGGGACATACATTATACAAGTGTTGCTTCTTCAAATAAAATATTGTAGCGTGAACGTTTACGTTTTCATTGTAATCTTGGTCAGAAATCAGATTCAAATGTTTGAGTTTATTATCCAAGTCATTTTCAAAATTCTTTCCAATAAGATTCAAATCAAAGATTCAAATCGTAGAGTTAAAAGATTACTTCCTTGCAAGTGACAAATTCCACACGTGTTATTTCGACAATTCCGTATTTTTCGTTTTTCTAATAATTTGAAAATCCTGTACGAGCTTAACAGCTTGTGAACGCAGCATTGATAAGAAGATCTATGCAGCAAATTTCAGCCTGTACGATATAATTAATAATAATTAATGAGGCAGGATCCGGCTGAATTCACAAGCTTTGGAGAAGCTTGCTTCGTTTCGCGTGCAGCAACCTAATTGGCTGGACGAATGCTGAATGAACGATAATTAAAAAAAATAAAGGATTGTCGGAATGAAACGCGAGGAGGCAGGCTTGACGCGAGGATTTAATTAGACGAAACTAAGTCGAGAGAGGGAAAAGCTTCTAATTTATCCGTGAGCAAGAGATAACTTCTTAGGTGGGAGTACTGGTATCGATCTACTTTCAACGTTCTTGAAACTTAAACCATCTATAACGCCCTTGAAACTAATAGTCTCTTGTTTTATCTGGCGACCTCCTGTTACGTTTATTCATCCCGGCCGAATATCCGGTGAACGGGTGGACTGTATGAAGACGGCACTAATGGTGTCCTTGAAACTACAACAATCCGTAAAGTTCTCGACACCGATTTTCCTCCGCGCATCCAACAAACTTCTTCGTCGGGATCTGATTCTTCATCAGATCGTTAGTTGAACGACGGTGTGGGATAACGGCGAAGAAACTTCGAGCTAGTCGATCATCGACGTCGCTCGCAATGTTATTTCTCGAAAATTTTAATCACAGATGGGAGAGAGAGAGTGAGAGATCTTGTGAAATAGTTGTGAAGATCTTTGTCTTTCATTTTGGAGGATTTATCGTCATTGAGATTTTAAATACAAGAATCTACTATACGCGATGTAAGGGTCGCTATAAATTTGAAATTTCCTTGTGAATTATAGGATATATTTGAAGATCTCGGTTTGTTGCTTTATCGCCAGGAGGATTTTTACTGAAGTTCTAGATGCTATGAGGATCAGTCTTGTGAAATAATTATAAACTGAGATATTTGTTTCTTTTATTTTGGAGGATCTATCGTCATTGATGTTCTAGATACAAGGATGTGCCATAAAGATTTTAGACAAGCTTGTAAAATAATTATAAAGAATTATTTAAGAATTATTTAATTATAAAGAATTATTATTATTATATAATTATAATTATAAAATTAAAAATAATATAATTATAATTATAAAGAATTATTTAAGAATTATTTAATTAGAATATTTAAGAATTATTTAATTATAAAGAATTATTTATATAATTATAAAGAATTTCCGGAGATTTTTATTTTTCATTTTGAAGGATTCTAGGTTTCAGATATAAAGGATCTATTGTAACTAAATTCTAGGTTCCAAATATAAAGTATCTATTGTAACTAAAATAGATACAAAGATTTGTTATAAAAGTCGAAGGTTGATATTTGGTGAATTATCGTTTACGAAATCGAATTTATAATAAATCCTAAAATCCTTGGAATCATTTGCAAAGTATTTACCACCTAACTGGTCTACAAAGAATCGGTGTCAACATTTGTACACAATATTTACACAAAGTGTTATAATTGTGTCCTAGATTTCAGTTTCATTCTCATTACTGTGCAGTTGCTGGAACGTTTCCACTTTAGAATATCAAATGTTAATTCATTCCTCTCCATTAAGTCTTTCTATAAACATCTTTCTAGTATTGACGGACGACGTGAAAATTAAAACAATCAACACAATCGCACTGTAATCTCAGCGACACTTTTCCACCATCGGAGAGCGTCATAGCTGAAAGCCATGATTAAAGGCGAATCGAGTTAAATCTCTTCGAAATATCTCATCCTTTCGAGTCATAAACTTAATCAAGTTGATGGTGTCGGGCTTATCAATCTTTGTCAAATTGCAAAATCTATGGAAACGGGACTTTGGATTGTTTATCACTTATTATTGATGAATGAATGGAGTGATCAGGCTTGGATAAATTTTATTCGAAATAAATTACTCTGGCTATTTCTGTTTCACAAATGACGCGAATCTTTGCAAACGTCTGTCTGGAATTTAAGCTATGTTATATTAAGACTATGTTAGAGTTAATTTCGAACTTTATGAATTGCAACTCTGTTGTATCGTATTCTATTGTATTATGGCCGCTTACTTTTACTTTTTAATATATTCAATTTCACCTTCATCTTTTTAGCAGACTTATTTTATACGTAAACAAACTAAGTAAAAAATTCTTGTATCAAATAAGAGATTCAGTGTTGAACTTTTTGAGTTGCACTTTGTTGCGTTGTATTCTATTGTATGATGGTTGCATCGCTTACTCTTGTTCTTTAACACATCCAATTTCACCTTTGTTCTATTACCAGAATTATTTTATACACAAACAGAATAGATAAGAAATTCCCGAGTTAAATAACAGATTGATTGTTGAACGTTTTGAGAATTTCATCTTTATTTCATCATCAGGATTATTTTATACGCAAAACAGATTAGATAAGAAATTGTCGAGTGTCAAACAAGAGATCCAACAATCGCTAAACTTTTCTTTTCAATTTCATTCATCCAGGTGGCCAGTATGGTAGTGGCGTTGATGGTATCGGCGTTCCCAATGACGACCAACGCCATACACATCCTCCATCAGTCGTGGGTGTTCGACGTGATGTTCTCGGTGTTTAAACCGCTGTTGGACGTGAAAATGCAAAACAAGATCTTCTTCCACGGCAGCAACATGGACAGCCTCCACAAGCACATCTCCGCGTCGTACTTGCCGAAGAAGTACGGCGGGATCAGGGAGGAGTTGCCTTACTACAAGTGGATCGACAACCTCAGCAAAGTGCCTCAAATCGTTAAAGAGATGAAGCAGCTTGGTTACGTACTCCCGGAGGAGAAACAGAAGCAGCAGCCAGATCAATCGGTCGAGGATTGAATTAGGACGTGCCTCGTGGGCTCCTTTGTCTCCAGTTCAATATTTACTTCTTGATTAATAATAGCCACACACGTATTAGTCTCTCATGCTAACCTGCATACAACTATCGGTATAATCCAGTTAGGATTCTTCCTTTTTCACTTCGTTTTTTTTTTTTTCTTGTATTCTCGCTTCCTTTTTATATCCGTTAATTAGCGCGTTTCTTCCTCGGAAACGGAGAAGATGCATCATATTAAACGCAACTCGAGCGTCGCATGTTTTGTACTCTCGTTCATTACCGTTCGTTCTGTATCCTTCTTTCTGCATAGCCTCTGCGCTCTCCTGTCGTGATATTGATTAAACGATTTCAGAGAGATCGCCTGTTCGTTCATCTTTCCCACCAAATCTCCGACGTTCATCTTTCCCACCAAATCTCATACTAGAGCGCGATTCGCGGATTGATAATAAATTGGATTCGAGGCGAATTAATGGCTCGACAAAAATCGACGTCGTTCAATTTCCTAGGAGAATGGAGGGACTGGCGTTGGCTGGTATTTACAGATCGAATCGAGACCTTGGTCTTCCAGGGCGAATCAAATGAAATAAGCGCTATCGATCTCCTTTACCGAGAGCTGAGAGGTCTTTGGATATTCGTCAAAGGATGTAACCTCGAAGAAAAATTAATTTAAAATTCAAGCGTCAGTCGCGTTACTCAGTCAGTTTTTTTTTTTTTTTTTTCTTTTTAACACACGACGAGGTGACAAACCGTCCGTGCGCAAACAGAGACTCGACGCGACAGTTAGCAGATTGATTTGCGTAGCACGTTGTTTGAGCAGAATATAAGCCGAGAGCCATTGGATCAGTCACTGGTGCAAAGTGCAATTACAGGAAAACGAACAGTGCGTGTTTCCCTGCAAGCGTCAGAGCAAACAATGCACAATCTCAACCTAACGAAGATTACATCACTCGTGTCAATCAGGAATTGATTAACGGTACTCTACTGTCTGTCGCGTTCAATTGTACTTTTTGCAACGAATGAGAGAAGAGGAGTCAAACGTTTGTTAACAGGTACACAGTCGCTCTGAAACATGAGCGAATTTCTAAGAACCGCGGCATCGAAGCTCAGCCTCTTCGATAGCGAGTAAACGAGCGTGAATCGCAGATTAATGACTCTCGATTAACGATCACAGTGGTGTAAGTCAGTGAACCGCTCGTTTTTCGTAAAACGACACGTTCTACGCGTTTGATCGTTCTTCGAACGACGAGGCCACGGTACGCGGGCATATGAATTACATTCTTCGCAGAGGAATGGCGATGACAATTGAGATTTCTCGAAAATTACGTGACTTACACACACCGCAGTAATTTTCAGCCGGTGAATTGCGTTCATCGATCGTGGAAGGACGACAGCTGCAGGGGGGAGGAGCCGGTTGATCGAAGTCCCTCTCGATCGGTGCAGTGGAAACAGGCGGATCGGCGCGCGCGAGAGAAGCATCGGGTGACCGACATCGAAAACGAGCAATTCACGGAAAACGAGCGGACATGGTCGGTGGTGGCGGTGGCTTTGGCGAAGGGTGCAGCTAGGTCGGTAGGTACATACGCGTAGGTAGGGCAGAGAGCGGCGCAGGTAGGGCCTGGCGTGGACGGCACTGGGGCTTTTGTGGTGGTTGATATCGACCCGGCGTTCGTGGAGGGTCGGAGCTGTCGGGGGTTGCATGGCGCAAGTCTGGACGAAGGAACGAGGGCGAGGAGGTGTACGGAGGTGGCGGCGGAGGCGGCAAGGAGCGGAGACGGATGGAGAGAGTGGCGGTCCGCTTCCCTCCGAGGAGAGAAGAAAGAGCACCGGCAGTAGTAACCCGGCCAGTACCCCGCGCGCGGGTGCAGCTGCATCCCGAAAAAAAAAAAAAAAAAAAAACGCCCGTGTGTGCGTGAGAGTGCGTGAGAGTGCAAAACGCGAGAGGCGTGCGTGTCCTGCTGGCGAGGACGACCACGTCGCCACGAGGGCCGAAACGCGTCACCAGCTGACAGCCCTCCTTGTCCTCGTTCTCAGCATCCTCTCCGAGGAATAGACGCGTGTACGCGACGCGATCACCGAGGGTGAAACCCTTCCTTCGGCCGGCTAAGGGTTGGGTTCGTCTGTCCGCGAACGGAAGGAAGGTAAACGGAGGCCAGCAGACCGTACCAGACGATAACCTTGGTTTGCAACGCATCGGACAACGATGTTTCCTCGATGCTATCGCGTTCGAAGCCACCGGAGCGAGTTTCCACGCGTGTAACGCGCGCCTCAGCCGAAAGTATGTGAAACGAGGAGAAGCAGAGAGTGAGTGAGTGAGAGAGAGAGAGAGAGAGAGAGAGAGAGAGAGAGCGAGAGAGCGAGAGAGCGAGATAGCAGCGCCATGTTACGAAGACAAGAGACCTCGAACGAGGATTCCTACCTGAGCGCGGGCAGGCCGTCGAACCTGCTGCGGACGAGCTTCAGCAGCGCCAAGCTAGAGACGCTCTATCGTGCCTCCTCCCTTCAACAGAGGCGGGGTGGCCTCGAGTACTTCCTGTTTTCGGCGCTTCTCTACGGCGCTCATTCGTTGATCACGCCGGGGCAGGAGCTACCGGCTCGAGGTTTGACCGTGGTCTTCTTGGGGTTGAACCTGGGCCTGTTAGCCTGGGCGAAACACAATTCCAGGGCGAAGGATGCGCTGTGGTCGGTGGTACCTCACGTGGCCTGGAAGCTATCCACCGCACAGCTACTTGCTCAGCTGTTCCTCAAGTCCACCGAGGTCACGCCTAGGGACGGACTAGGCTGGCTGTTGCTCATGCTCTACCTGCTGTTCGCCACTCTACCCCTCAGGCTGTCCCTCTGCGTCCTCCTCGCCTTTGGTACTGCGTCGGCATACATCGTGTCCGTCGTTGGACTCTCCAAAGATCCTGCACAGATACCCATCGACGTTTTGGTAGGTGCTGTTTGATGTTTGCACGTTGATGTTTCTTAAAAGAGGAGAGAGCAAGCTTGCTCTGGGCGCATTTGGGGCGAGGTTTTGGGAGTAAAATGTAAACGGACGGGGTATAAATTCAGAATTGTACATGTATACTATAGCAAAAAAAAAAAAAAAAAAAAGAAAGAAAGAGAGAAAATAATGGATCCTAGTCATATTCTATTTCTATTTACATTAATTAAGCACGGAACCCCGTGCAAAAGGTAACAAAATTTACAAGCTCAGTCGGAACTGACACGCAACGCGAGTTGCAAAGAAGCAATAGCAGCCGCTGAGATTAGGACGTTTTATATTCTCAGCGACTGAACTTTACTCGAGTGATCGATCATCCGTGCGAACGAGTGGCTCGATTATCCCCCGTTGTCAGCCCTTTTAATTGATTTACGATCCTCGGGCGCCCCCGTCGCGGCGATTGCGCCACAGAAACGACTCCGATTACAATCGTTCACTAAAACTAACTGCGATATTTCACGGCCTCGTGCTTCTTTTCACTCGGTGTGTTTCATCGAGCGTCTCGAAGACGAACAACCCCCTCCCCCTCGTGAAAGGGGCTGTTTCCCCTCGTTTTCATTTTAATTTCGAGCGATTTAATCATCGACACACGATGCCTCGTGGCCTCGTGGAAACAACTGTTGCCGCGCGATTCAATCGTGGTTGAACTAATTTGCCGTTGTGCGGCAGCGGCCGCCTTTCTTACGTGTTTCGATCGATCGACACACGCAACGACACACGGTACGAGGCTGGTCGCACGCCTCGAACGATCCATTGTAAAATAGCCGTGGCCGGCGCGCGTGACAACATTTTCCACGTTCGAGCGGCTAAGCCCTCGATTATTTTCTATTCGAACGCCCCTGCACGGAACGTTGAATGGAACCGGAGTTCGCGATACACCCGGGACTGGCTTGCTATTTTTGAAAATACCAAGCCACACCGGTGGAAGGGATTGGTAAGTTTGCGGTCTCCGGGAGTGTTCGAATTTTAAATAGAATTTTCTTTCTCTCTCTCTCTCTCTCTCTCTCTCTCTCTCTCTCTCTCTCTCTTTCTCTCTCTCTCACGCTCGTCTTTGATAGGCGTGGGTGGTACGTTCGCAGCGGTGAATCGTGACTCGATCGAAACTGATAACGACAGATTTATTTCCTCCTCTTTCTTCCGTTTCTTTTCCCTTTTCTTTTCCATTTCATTCCAATCTCTGTCTCACACATGTGCGTACGCGTTTCGTTTGAAGTGCATTACTTCACAAGAGCTTCGACAAGATATTCTAATTTTAGACGAAGCCCATAGAATTTATAGAACCCGACGCGTTACGACGTCGATTAAAATAACGGATCTATGGATTAGATCTTGGCTCGTTTTATTTTTTCAATCCGGGGTGCCCGGTTGTATAAAATTAGACCGCAATCAAAGCGATTCCCAGTCTCGACGCAGTGTGTCGAGTGGTTATTAACGAGATAATAGATTGGATATCGGACTTTCTTTCAACCTCAGATTGAATAACTTTTTGATTGATCCGAAGTGTGATAAGCTTCCAAAATAACAACGACTCGAGGTAGGAAAAATTAGCGGGCATGATAATTTACCGAGCAACAAGTTAACACCCCAGCTGATTACGTTTCGTAGCTCGAGCAATTTATGGGAAGCCATTTTCTCTGGTTGTCAATTTTTATGGGACAATCTGCTTCGTCGTACAGTGATAAATAACTGTAATCCCGAAGACACCGCTCTCTCCGTCGTTCTTCATCAACCTAAGTACTCTATGAAATTAATTTAAACGTTCTAACCTACTACGCTACGTAATTTAAATTCGATATTTCATAATTCCAGAGAATGACACATTGATCTAAATATAAAGATTCTTCGACAATGACAAATAAATGTAGAAAAACTTGCACTACTTTGAACGATAAAGAGATGCACTTATGTATGTGAATGTTAACAAACAACGATCGCGTATAAAAAAGAGGATCCTCGACTTCAATGCTGTGGCACAAATAAGCCATGGTTTATGCAAATGTCTGATTTATGCAAATTTCATGAACGTAATTGGTAGAGATTTGTTTTTGTCCCGCTAAGTATTATAATGAGCTTATTACGCTTCGAATACTTTGTATATCTTTAGTTTATGCCTACTTCAACTTTCAAATGTTCTATTAATAAAATATTCGCAATATTTGATGACATTCGCAGAAACAGAGAGATACAAATATTTATTGAGAAAATGTGTTACAGTAATATTTAGAAAAGAACAATATTTCTGTTTTAACAAAAGTTGACAATAATTTTCTCAGGAGTTACGCACTCTTGGTAATTATAAAAAACGAATATCCATCAGTTTGGTATGTTTCAACATCAATTAACATCTCTTGAAACAATAATTACATCTCTTTATTGAAATAACTTCAAATATTGTTCTATTCATTTCTAAAAAAGTGAAACATTCCCATTTGACTGTAATTTATAAATTGCAAACAAAAAGGCACTGAATGTTCATCATTTCAGTAAATTCTAACATCGATCAATGTTAACATCTTTTTGAAATAATTGTCAGTCTTAATATTTTCAGTGAAATAACATCAAACATTCAAATATTCTTCCATTCATTTCTAAAAGTAAGATATTTCTGTCCTATTTGTGTAATGTACACAAGAAAATTGAATGTCCATCATTTTAGTAAGTTTTTAACATCAATTAATAATTCCAAAAGCATTACTTACATTTTAGTCTAATCTAGGTTAATATCTTCTCTTGAAATAACATCAAACGTTCTTCCATTCGTTTTTTTTCCCCCCTTAAAACTAAAACATTTCCATTTGACTGATTGTCCTCGATTTGCTATAATCTACAAATTTCCTACATTCAATCCAACCCCCGAGAAATCCTATCTTTACATCGATCTTCAGCCGTTTGATCGCGAGTGGCGGAAGGGTCGTCGAAGGAAAGTGGTAAGCGTCACGATCGTGCTTATTTCATTTCATGTCGAAAATTGCTAGTCGCTGCATGATCGAGCTGTTTTTCTGGTTATTGCAGTTTCTGCAGTTCCGTTCGCCAGCACAGCCCCGATGCAGACGAGCGATATGACGTCGTTGCGATTTAACAGGGTTGACGCTGAACGATATTCCCAATAGCTGGTTCACACGCTCGTGTGCATTGCATCAATGAAAAATAAGAGAAAAAAGGAAATCGTATCGGTTTTCGCAGCAACACCAGACCCTCGCACAATGAACATTCCCGGAGATACTTTGTCTGCAAATACGGGTCGTTTCATACGTTCTTCCACGTCGTGTGCATTCCGTGTAATTTTGCACTTTCCACAAATCTTCAACGAATGCGCGAGAATCCGCAGTGTTAGACTCCTTTCGTAATATCAAACTACGATCATTTTCGTGATATCAAACTCTTGGAGAAACATGAAAGTACACTGTGCTTGCCGAAAGGGTTGCGCAATAGGAAGCCTTAAAACGTCTTGCCCTGGAATGACTTGCCACGCATGTCGAGAACTTTTTGTCCGAAATTGCAACAATTTCTCAGTTTTAAGTATATTTAAATGGCAAAACAAATAATAAGTTTATTACTTCTTAGTAATTTCTATCCAGTGATATCATACCGACGAGCTGAAAAGAAAGAGAAAGCGACGAATTATTGTGTTACGGTTCGGTCACTCGTTATGGTCCGCGAACCAGTTTCCAGCGCAAGGGGTTAAAAAGGAAATCGCTCGCGAATAAAAATAAACGTGAATTCCGCGAGAATTAAAAATTAAGTGAATTTCAAAAACTATAGTAAACTCTCTTCACTTTCCAACTAGATTTAATAAAATATCTAGATCCAAAAAATATGTGCGTTCTCCAGATTTGTACATCTCCAAATTTTTAGTTGTTGCAATATTTTTGGCGAACAGATTGTTCGACCTAATTACTATAACAGTTACATAATATCGTTTAAATACTTTCTGCAACTACTGTCATACACGTACGTCAAGTAAATCAAGTTGTCAGTTCAAACTGACTACCTTTTAGTTTCTGAAATGTTCCTCTGTTAATTCATTCCTGCACAAGGTACACGAAAGAATTTGCGTTGCTAATGTTCATTAGGCAAGTCATCAAAGGTCAATTAATCGACGTTTCAGTCATCGAGGCAGCTCACTTAGGTCACTGAATTCGAGCGTTCATTCCGGTGATGACTGATCGGAAATGTGGAACCTGCTCGTTTAATTACAGGCTTCCCTACCGTTCACCCTTTCGCGCAGACACATCGTCGCTTTAATTAGCGATCCACCTAAACTGGACGCCACCTTTATTCGTCGGAGCAGACTGATTAATAAGTCACGAGGAGCCTTGTGTTTTGTTAAAACGGTAACTATGCTTCCCTGTCTGGGAAACTTATGCTCGCCGGTTACTGCTCGACAAATTTTGTACGTCTTGTTGTTAACTACAGACTACTTATTGTTGGCCTGACGTCATGGTTTATTTCAGCACCATATCTATATACATATTGTGTACATCTTACATTGTACGTCTGTATAAATGTGATTTTATTATATTATAAATATAATTTTGAATATAATTTATAAATATATTTTACATAATATAATTGTATAAAAAAATTAATATAATTTTTAATATACTTTATAAATATATTTTATATAATATAAATACTTTATAAATATATTTTATATAATATCAGTATATAGAAAAATTAATATAATTGTGAATATAATTTATAAATATATTTTGTGTAATACAATTATATAAAAAAAATTAATATAATTTTGAATATACATTATAAATATATTTTATATAATATAAGTATATAAAAAAAACTAATATAATTGTGAATATAATTTATAAATATATTTTGTGTAATATAATTATATAAAAAAAATTAATATAATTTTAAATATACTTTATAAATATATTTTATATAATATAATTACATAAAAAAATTAATATAATTGTGAATATAAT